AATGTAAGTATATATAGATGTAGACATAATTAAAAACTTTTGGGAGTGACAGCAATCTAATCAGCGTTGAAAATTAACGCTGCAAATTGCTTTCACAGTTTTATTTAAGCAACTGCCACGCCCACGCCGCCTGCTGTTAATAAACAAATTATAATTTCAATAAGCTTGTCGCACGTAAAACAAATTTCATACGCCCCGTTGGCCTCCCAGCAACAAAAGCCCCAACAACAACAGCAACAGCAGCAGCAGCCAAATTGTTGTTTGTTTATTTATTGTTGCTACTGTAGCTGTCTGTTGTTATTTTTGCAGCTTATTTAGTTGCTGTCAAAATGGCAGCTGCAGCTGCCGCTGCCGCTGCCGGTGCAACGTTGCAGAGTCAACAGCAATTTCCATAAGCAAATAAATAGATTTGTGCTTGAGATAGCCTCGCGATGCGCCCTAAAAGAAAATTAATCTTTCACCAATTGTTGTTGATGAGAATAATATATCGTAAATTATAAATCGATTAAAATAGGATTAATGGTGATACATAAATATACTTGATTACTGCTTAAAATAAATAAATATAGAGCAAAGCAAAATTTGATATGAAAATTTGTGTAATAATGTTAGTTGTATATAGTTAGAACATATATAAATCTAATTCAAATGAAATCGTATCGAATAACTAGTAGATAAGTAAAAAATATATATGTATAAATCTGAATCATTTATTATTTTAATAAGAGCTAAGCTGAGTTATCTGATTGAGTTTTCAAACATTTGTAAGTTTGTTTTTAATAATCTTATTATTCATATCCATGGATCAATTCGGCCTGTATTCAATCTTTATAAATAATATGCGTAAAAACATAGAAACGTTTGATAATGCATATTTTAAGCTTACTCTAAATACAGATAACAAATTAGTATATTTTAGCACCGGAGATGTTTACGTAATATTCGGAGCACATAATCAAGCATTGAAAGCTATTTTACTATATATATATGTATTGGGTAGTCGGAAAAGTCTTTTCGTATTTGCCCAATAGATGTCCTTTGAGTCGTAGATCCCCAGTGCTACCAATCACATTGTGCACTACCATATGATGTTCGATTGGTAGCACTTTTAGCTTCATTTGCCCAAAAAAAAAAAATTTAATTCGAGGAATTGGAAAAAAAAATTTACAGCTGTTCAAAAATGAGTGAGAGCAAAGAAGAAATTCGCAATATTTTGAAATTTTTGTATATAAAAGGGAAGAATGCCACGCAATGAAAATTTGTGAAGTTTACGGTGACGATGCTGAATCAGTTCGTGTAGCACAACAATGGTTCGCTTGCTTCCGTTCTGGAAATTTCGATGTGAAAGATGCACCTCGCTCTGGTCGACCAATCTTTGAAATAGTCGATGAAATTATGGAAAGGATTGACCAGGACCGTCACATAAGCAGCCATGACATCGCCATTGAAATATACATTCATCATCAAAAGGTACTGATCCATTTCTCTATCTCTCTCTCTCTCTCTCTCTCTCTCTCTCTCTCTCTCTCTCTCTCTCTCTCTCTCTTAAAATCCCCCTTAATAACAGCATCTTTTGAATGTATCACCGTTCACGTTCTGCCACTCTTTAAACTTAAGTTATCAGCACACTTATGCGACGGGCATTAGCTAATCGGGAAGCTGCATAAGCACCTAATTGCTGAGCAGCTGCTTGCTTTGGTGCCGGCAGAGCAAACGCGATGGGCCAGTTGTTCAAGCTGATATAGGCAGTTCACCAAAAAGTGCAACCAAACATGCCCATTTTCCACTCAAGCCCAACTCCCCACGCCCCACACTGCGCCACCCTGCCGCTAACCTCAACAACATGCCGCAAACAATGAGGCTTAGCGCCCAGTTACAAGCTGCAAGTCAAGCAGCTGGCGGGCTAAACAGCAGCTGTTACCACAACTCTCACACACTCACACACACCCACACACACACACATTGTTTATGTGAGCGCGTGCACAACTCCAATGCAGCCCATCGAACTCAGTTACAGGCCAGGGACAAATGTGGCGACGCCTACGTTGAGAAAAATATGCGAAAATTTGCCGAAGCAAACGCGGACTTTCCTTGTCCCATGTCCGGGGCAAAGTTTTTCCCGACTGGCACATGGCCAGCCCATGTGTGTGTGTGCGTGTTGGGCTGACAATAATCCAAAAGTTTTACAAGCAAAACGAGCGACCATTACATGGGCGGACGGGCAGAAACAGAAACCACTTGCAAGCAATTTTCATCAGCGCACTTTCCTCCTCTTCATTTTGCTTCTATATATATGTATGCATTTTTTTTTTTTTTTACCATTTTACCAGGCGTAGCCACAGCTGCTGCTGACAGGCAGGACGAGCATTTTGCTTAGTGTCTGACCGCAGCTCGCTGCAAATCCTCCACACACAAAGTCTGCAGCGAAATCTCTGGGCAAACGCATTTAGCATTTGGCTGCAGTGCGGCCCATGTCCACATCCAGCTCGGCATCCGGGGGCCACAACTTCATTGTCTCCGGCAGGCAAAAGGTAAGCGATTCGAGGCCAGCTCGATAAGAAACTAATGCCAGTGCAACCGCAGCCAGCATGCATAGCTCTCCCCAGAGCTAAGTCCATTTAGCAGTACTTACCATAAAGCTCAGCCAGCTCTAGGCCCTGAGCACTATATGGACTGAGACTGGACTGGTCGGCTGCGGGCTGCACTGTGGCCTAAGCACTGGATAGAGCTGCTTACAAGCCTGACTGAGAGAAAAACAAAAAATAAAACAAACAAATAGACGGCCCGGCAGTCAGGAGTAGTCGACCTAGTCGATACCTCGACCATGAGTTGAGATCGTAATTAAGTATCTGAGGTGTTAGCCACAATCAGCTTGAGCCACGGTGCTTATTCACATTTCAATATAATATTAAATTAAATTTTAAAAAAATTATAAAAATAGACCAAGTCTATTTCTTTAGCAACAAAATTATACTCTCTATTAAAAAATGTCCAATTCGTATGAAACTAAGGAGAAACAAACACATTTTAGCAATTCTAAACATTATAGACTACATTATTCAAATTATATTCAGAGTCATGTCAATTGGCTTCAGGGCTGTTCTATGGAAACAAGGATTTGTCATCCCATATACCCATTTACATTTACAAAGAAAAGGAAAACAAAGGAAAAGAATTCTTAAAAGAGAATGCGAAGAAAAAATATGGTTAGAAGTGAAAAATAGCAGTTTACACTTTACACTTGCCACAATGCAGATGTAAATGGCCACGCCCACAGCTCACGCCCGCTGGTCAGACGCTTCGGTTACTTTCGCCAGCTGTTAATAAATTTAAAGTTTTGCTTTTACTCTGCTGGGCAAAAAGGAAAACCGGACCAGAGCGAAATAAAAATTGAATAGACAACTGTGCCAGCAGACGATTCACACACTTGCTCGACTGTGTATGTGTGAGTGTGTGTGTGTGTGTGTTTGTAGGAAAGTTTAAACTTTCTTTAAACGCTGCATGAATTGTTTGTCTTGTTTTTTTCCCTCTACAACTACAACGTGTTCTTGTCGCTGCTGCTGTTGTCCAGCTTTCCATTGGCGACGCTAAAAAAACGTTTTACAGTCTGTGCACAAAGTATACGTCCGTGTATGTGTGTGTGTGTGCACTTTTGGCAGGACATTTATTAGCTTTGTTTTGATGCTTTTGCTTATGCAATTTCCAAGCTACATACATACATCGATAGATGCATTTACCTACAGGTCGACAGAGCGTGGCATGTAAATGACAGCAGAGCTCATATTTCCCAGATCGAAATTTATGGCAATATTTGGAAGCTTCTGCTGCTGCTGATTGATTTAATAGTTACATTTCGAAATGAAAGCAGCTCGCAAGGGAATTGAAAATAAAATTCGTTTAGTCATTTTCCATTTTGTTTTCCATTTATGCATTTTGTTAATTGGTTTTATTTTGTCATTATAAGCTCAACATGTCATTCGTATTTGTTTTCTACGTAATATTAACTTGGGGTTTTCAAAGGAATTTCACATGCAACAGGTGCCATATACAACATTTGCCAGAGAGGTGCGAGGGCTAAGAGGCTAGTACTTAAGCTGTTAATCTACAGAAACTGTTAGGCAACTATTGGCATTTCCAGGGTATTTAGTAAGCCATCAAAAGGCTGTTAGAAACGTTACGAAATTCTACATTTATTTGTTCAGCAAGAGCTGGCACTTGTCAGGTGTTTTGTTTATTGGATTTGAATGGAAATGCACTAAAGTTTAATTAACCATATAAACTAGTTGATATCATTTGAGAGTCCGGACCAGCTATTCCTCTTGTGAATGCTTAGCTTGTGCGATTTGTGATGTCTTTAATTTATGCCTTTGGGTTTTTAAAAGCTGGGCCTGAAGCCGTTGCGCTGCGATAGCACTGAATCGGGACTCTTGAGCTCCATGGCCAGCTTGTAGCCCAGCTCGGGTCGACGATCCCGACCCTCAGCCATTGCCTTGACCTGATCAAAAGCAAAGGTTTATCCAGTAAATCCCATTTTAGCTACTCTGTCGCTTCACTCACCTCGTTGCTGTGCACAATGACGCCATCGCTCTTGATCACCTTCTCCTTGGTGTGCTCAATGTCATGGAAGTCGGTGCCGCGGCAGCAGTCGTCTATCAGGACAGTGCGATAGCCAGCGGACAGAGCATCCACGGCCGTCGCACCCACACACACATCGTAGGCCAGGCCGCACACGTAGATGTCCGTGGCGCCCTTCATTTTCAGCTGGGCATTCAGCGTGGTGTCCGACAGCTTCTTGTTGTCCCAGAACACGGAATAGGAGTCCACCTCCGGATTGGTGCCCTTGTACACCTTGATGCCATGATCGACCACCTTCAGATCCTTGTGCAGCTCTGCGCCCCAAGAGTCCTGCACACAGTGACGCGGCCACAGACGCTGCTTCATCGGCGGCGGCCCGGCAAAGATGACCGTATCAAAGACCTTCGCCGAATCGGCATCCAACTGCGAGCATATTTGCATAAAATATTTCATATATATATTTACCAGCAGATATATATATTTGATTATAATGATGTTTAATATCAATAAAATGAACTCATCGACTAGCAGGTAGTGCGATAGAACAAGATAAGGGTCCCAAGTACGGACTCTATAAATAGACAGATGAATACTAACCCTTGCAACCCCAGAGTCAGATTATGTAAGAGACGAGCGCTAAGCCCTACAAACTCAGCGATAGGATAAGAATATGTAATAGACCTTACACACTCAGCAATAGACGCACTAGATGTAAGGGTTAAAAATATGCATAAGTCTAGGTATAAAATCCCGGGCTCAGAAGAATAAAGATCTATACGTAATTAAACTCATTTCAACATGCTCAGTAAGGGTTGACGAATCAAATGGAATTAGCTAATTAGGAATTGAGGGTCCGACTTAATTTGCTCCCGTTCATAATTTATACATTAGTATCCCTGTGGGCCAGAATTTTCATCGCAATAACCGTACGGACGCTATAAGCGGAGTCGTTAAAACTGGAATATACTTTCCCATATTTGTTAATTCAACAACTTTTTATAGCAATTTTCTATTCGATTATAGCCTCAAAAATTTTTATTTAATTAAATCAGGGACCGTAAATAAGAGTTACGCATTTAAAAACAAGTAAGAAAGCTCTAGTCGAGACTGCTCGACTAGGAGATACCCTGAACCCTCTAATCTGATACTCTAATCATTCTGCACTTCTTTTATGCACACATACATACAGATGCATCCACACGCACGCATAAGCATGCGCTCTGCTAACTGCGCAGTAAGCAGCGACTGCGCTTGGGCTGCGCTGCAGTGTGGGCAATATTATGAGAATTTATTTGTCGAATAATTTCTTTTGTAAACATATGATCTTAATGAAACTTTCAGAGTGTAATCATATGGTAAATATGTGTGTACATTCCAAAGCACAAGTCTCTAGTACTTGAAATGCGTTTTTTANAATTATTATTTTTTAATTTTTTGATATAAAAATTATACTCGTTAAGGTCCCTGATTTAAATTAAATTTTTTTATTTTACGGCAATGTTTTATGCTAGCAGTACAGTACGAAGGAATACAATATATTTCAATTTCATAGCTCTTTTTCCAAATCAAATCAATTAAATCATATAATTGAAAAGGAGCTGCAGATAGATATATATAATTATACTTTAATCTATTTTATAGACTTATCACATTCTCACTTTAACCTATTTCATAATCTGATATATGTTACGTTCATTTGTAATTAAATTTGGAGCCTAGACACCATCATAATCCCTAAGACATTAACTAACTAATTGTAATTGAGGTTTCAATTTCAATATGTATCGTTCATTTGCTTAATATCAAAATGCAAACTGCCATTTACATGGGTAAAATGCTTGGCCAATGAATCAACAATTCGAATATATGTATGTATGTATGTGTATATGGCTCTCACTCACCGCCGAGGACTCGTCCATGGGTCGCATTTTGACATTATCAATAAATGAAACATGATCGCTGGGATGCCAGTCTAGGGAGTAGAAGACCGCATCGAAGTCCACCGTGTCCAGCAGCTTGTTAATGGGCTCCAGTATCTGCAAGGAGAGCGGTCATTGGATAAGCTCGCAACAGATAAGAGAAGGCGGGGAGGGGGAGGGGGAGGGGGAGCGGGAGATGGAGCGGTCTGTCAGCTGAGCAGTCCATAAAGCGACGACGGAAGTGTGTGTTATTAATTTTGACAAATTTTCATGTTCGAGCGAGGGCAGTAAGTGAAGTGCCGGCCAGCACAAGTGCACCACCGAGGCGGACGTACTGCGGTGGGCGGGTGGCCTCGGCTCAGCCAATTGCGGCAGATGGCAGCCAAGAGCTGATGTCGATGCTGCTGCTGCCGATGCGGCACTTGGTTGGCTTTGCCGCTGACGATGGCATCCGGCGTATGTCGCAGCGCGGATGCGACTTAAGTAAAGCATATCCGCTTCCGCCTATGCACACGCACACAGCTACAGCTACAGCTACAGCTATATATATATAGAGCAACAGTATCATTCGATGGTGGCTGACATGCAGAGTACCGAGCGTCAGGCTCTCTTTCTCTCTCTCTCTGTCTCTCTTGCCGTTCCTCTCGTTGGCGGCAATGACTTTGGCTCATCCTGCGCTTCGCTTGGCTGCCTCCATTTTCATTTCTTGTTACGTTTTATGTCTTTCCGTCGCCGCGTACCTGCCAGCCCCGCACCAGCTTGCCGGTGCCCAGCCTGCCTGCGTTTTATCAGCTGAGCTGCTGCCCTATCTGTGGCCACAGCCCACGACTCACAACTGCCAGCTTCAATATTATCTTCGTCTTGGCTTCGTTATATTTTTTTTTTTCTTTTCTCTCTTCACCAACTCCAGGTCTCACCTCATGTCCTTGCTGCTGTGCACTGCAATTACTTATATCCAAGGAACCACTTATAAAATCATTTTGTACATCAACAATGAGAAACGCGTTCACCGGTCGCACAATCTGCCAAGAGAGTGAAAAAGAGAACGAGATAAGTTATATGGAATTAGAGCGAGCACAGCATACACGAATTTCGCTACAAATATAATTAACGAATGCGAAACACTCTCACTTACTAGATATTTTGAGGTGTTTAGAGAAAAACTTATTATAAGAGAAATCTTAAGTTAATTATATGTTAAAAATTATTTCTCATTTCTGCCTTCTCTTAGCAAGTCAGTCAAAGCAAAGACACGATTCTTTGAGTTAGGAACGCCAATAGCTAAATATGTGATATGATAATAATTGCATATATGCAATTATTGCATAATGGGAAAGAAAACCAACAATCAATCTAATCAATGTTTAAGCAACCGCCTGTTCAATTCAATGACTATTTACTAATACCCTAACAAGATAGGGTATTAAGATGGCAACATGAACAGCCACGAAAAATTGTAAGAAAATTGTATGGCCAAAGTAAGTGAAGCAGACACCACAAAAGACGTCGGGCCAAAGTACATAAGCACAAACATGAAAAGCTACAAAGAAATTTGTATACACGTGCATTAGTGGGTGTAGTATACATATGTGTGTGTACATGTGTGTGTGTGCTCGTGTGTGCGCTGATGAGTTTCTTCATTTTATTCATTTTTTTTTTCCTCTGCTGCTGCTCCTCTTCCTTTTTTGTCGCCGCCCATTATAAATGCGTTTTAAATGAAGTAAAAGCCAGTCAAAAAAAAAAAAAAAAAATAGCTTTCGAAAAAACGCTCGCATGAGAGCAAAGAGCTCGTTAGGTCTGCCATTGCTATCTTGACTGTCAGCCCAGCAGCTGTATAGAGTATAGAGCACAGGAGCTGCGCAGAGCAAAGCATCATCAGTAGCTGCAGCAGCAGGAGCGGGACCAGCAGCAGGAGCAGGAGCGGGTGCTGATGCACGATGTTCGTCGTCTAAGCTGATTATGTTCGAGCATATTTAAAATTAGTGAAGCGCTTTTAATTTGTTATTTATGTGCACGCTGATTATGAATGATTATGATCTATGCGCAAACACACACACAGAGACACACGCACATACACACACACTCACGCATACGCAATCGAAGCGAGTACTGAAAATGGAACAGGAATAGAGACTGGGAGGACAGTCAAGAGCAACAGCAGGAGCAGCAGGAGCAGTGGCACATTAGCGTCAGCACGTTGCAAGCGCCATGCGAATGAGAGATGATTGCGTGACACGTGAATCACGATTAAAGCTGACGTTTTTAATGCTATACAAATTCGTATTATTATAATTTATTAATCAATGAGATTTCTATGTTTCTATATATGTAATGCAATAAATTATTTTCCCTCATCTATGAAGTTATTTTTTTCTCGTATATCTCTTCATATTACTTGAAAGGCAGAAGGCTATTTTTATATTATATTTATATTTATTCATATATATATTCATATTCGAGCTGGTTTCTTGAATTATTCTTAGTATAATTGAAAATTGAAAAATTCTTAGGGACAGATTTAGTCACTCGCAATTAATTTGTCTTGGAGAATGTTTTATTGAATGCTGAATGCGCACTCAGCTTGGCCATCTCTAGATATCTGTTATTTACCGCTTGTTGTTGCCAGATTTGATTTGTGTTGCTGTTGCAACTGTTGGCAGAGCGTTTAAAATATGTCATCCAGCTAAATGCTTTAAAGCGGCCAACGTGAGTTGCAGCCGTAGCCGTAGACGTAACCGTAAACGCAGCCGTAACCGTAGCCGTAGCCATAGTTGTAGCCGCAGCCGCCACAGCAGGAGCAGCAGGTGGTACGCAAATGAAGCTGTGCGACTTGGTGGGAGCAGAAGGAAGATGAGAGCGAGAGAGACTGAGAGAGAGCGAGAGCGAGAGATGGAGAGAGGCTCCATGCTGAAAGGTTAGCTTGCTGTTGCTGCTAGTGCGGGGCAGACAGCGCTTAAGCAGTTGATGATTTATCGCCTGTTGCCAGTGGCTGTTGCCCTGCCAGTGGTTGGTATTAGTGCCTCTGCAAACATGGCGGTGGTGCAGCGGTGCAACGATGCAGCGGTGCTCGGGTGCCGCATAGTTGCGGAAGTGATTTACATTTCGCATGTCGAGCATGCGACGTATTTTGAGCATAGTTTTCGGTTAGCATACTTAGAGATAATGGCCGGATAAAGGTAGTTAATGTATCAATTTGCTGCCACATCTCTCTCTCTCTCTCTCTCTCTATGTGTGTATGTGTGTGTGTGTGGGTGAGCTATTTCTGGAACGAGCATATATCACGCTGGGAATTAAATGTGCTCTAACTGGCTTAGCAGCCCATAAGCGGATCAAAATCGAGCTGCTTCGCAAGGTATTGAGTGGCTTAAAATAGAAATGTCAACGTAATATGCGCCAATCAGATTGATTTCGTTCGAGTATATATGGAGGGAGCTTAATAACATAACATTTATGTTTCATTTTGTAATTGTATTTGTATCGAATATCTAACTAATACTTTAAAATTGAAAATACAAATTTATATAATAATACAATAGTTATAATAATAATACAATTATAGTAGTAGAAAGTTAAATCATATAATGGGAAGAGCTAATATATTCCTTCACACAAATTTATACAATTAATATTGCATTTTCTTGACGTATTATTTATCTAATTCTCTTTCATTTCACACTTACAGCTCTCATTGAGTTTCATCAATTAATTATACATAGTGGATCAACCTGTCAGAGTTTCCACAGCTGACCCCGAAATTCTGCGTCCATCAATTTTGGTTCACAATTTGAACATGAGTTTCACTCGCTCACCTCAAGTGAGGCTGTCGCCACAAGAAATCAGAGGAGCAGCATCCAATTATGAACCATTTGACGCAGCTGTTGCTGACGAGCCTCAATTCACCACCAACCCCCCCGCCCCCTCCCTCGCTCATCGAAAGCCAAAGCAAGTTGGCAAATTAACACGCACCTCTCACGGTCCCCTTCCGTTGCCGAGCTTTGCTCCTGCTCCTGCACTGGCTAATGCAAACAACTGACCCTTGGCCCGAGCACTTATTGTTATGGCCGCCCACCTCCCACCTCTGGTGCGCCCCCGTCTCGCCTGTTGCTACAGTTTAATTTAAAGTTGAAACTATGAATGTTTGATTAAAGTGCCAAGAAACGCTCAGAGCAGGAACTTCGAGCAGGAGGAGGGGAACGACCAGGGACCAGGGCCCAGAGCAGGCCGAAATCCTGTTCATTCATTTGGCTGGCAAATATGTTACAGCTAAATTAATTATTGAGCATTGGAGTGCGGTGCCCACAGACATGTTGTGGATGTGACACCCCACCTATAGGATGCCTTTGCCGTGTGCCAGGCTATTGCGGTCTGTGTGTGTGTGTGTGTGTGCGGCCAAGACAAGGCACCTTTTGGTAACCACAGCAAATCTTAAATTCAAATTACACTTCAGCCCGATTCTGTCAGAGTTGGCAACAAAAGAAACAAGTTATAGAAATAACTTTGCTACACCTAGCGCTCATTCTCTCTCTCACACACTCTTTCTGCCGCTGTCAATCTCTCTCTCTCTCTCTCTCTCTCTCTCTATTTCTCTCCGTCTTCTTCTCTCGCTTTGGCTGACATGTGTGGCTGACGAAAGTTTCAGTCTTTTGGCTGCTGCCATGCAACATTTCGAGTCAATTTCAGTGCTGAATAAATTTCAAAATCCGTAAAACCCAAAGAGCTGAGCTCTTTTCGCCCTTAGTTGAGAACTGCTGCTGCTGCTGCTCCTCACGAGCCGCAGACAAAACTGTCAAAGTGTATGTGTGTGTCTGTGTCTGTGTGTGCCAAAAAAGTTGCCAAGCTAAAGGAATAAGTACGGCAAATGGTGACGTCGACAGACAGCCAGGACGAGACGAAGGCGCACGAATCGAATGAAATTCAACGTGATATTGAAGTATGTGCCAAAAGGGAAACGTGCCCACCCGCACTCACAAACCCAGACATACCCTTGCACACACACACACACACATACATATGTATGGGTTTGAGGCAGGTGCTAAAGCAATTTCCGTTTTGAAATTGTTGCATAAGTTGGCGGCTCTGGCAGTTCGGGGCTGGGCCTGCCATTTGGCACATACTTCACTCGCGCGCTCTCGCCCTTTCTATATATAATGTATATGACTTTCTTTTTTTTTTTTTTTTTTTTTTGGCTACTCCTCAACATAGGCTAGACAGCACCCGAAACATTGTCGCTGACAGTTTGTGGGTTTTCGCTCTGTGTCTATGTCTGTGTGTCTGCCTGCGTGTGTGTGTGCAACAAAATTACATTATACAATTTATGCGGCTGACTGGGACCAGAAATTGTTTGGCCAACTCCCAGACGAGCATCTAGCGCAAACTAACTATAAATAAGCTAGACGCTTCAACGGGAAAAACGTCTACAAAACTTTGACACATTTGCAGGCATCCGAAAAGTACAAATAATAATAATAAATAAATAAATAAGTAAAACAACAAATGCGCTGGAGCTGATGTGCCAATAAGCGGCTTAAGAGAGTACAACTTTTCCACAAATTATTCCAATAATCTGCGTGGCTTGCAAAAACATTTTTATTGTTAGTATTTGAGTATCAAATAACGGATTTATATATCAGATAATATTTTTAAGCCGAAAATGTATTGTTATTTGTATGTGTATGTTTTAAATTTTTTTTTTTTAAATGCTTAAGCTTTAAATAGAACAAGTAAGAAAGCTCTAGTCGAGACTGCTCGACTACGAGATCCCCTGAACCCTTGGAGCAATAGATATTTCAATAATTTTTCGCGTCTYTCAGCTTACAGAAGAAACACGCACACACACACACACACACACAGGCACGTACGCACACACAGGCACACATACACACACACGCATACAGACACACATACACACACACAC